AAAAAGTCAAGACCAAAAAGGTTACTTTAATAATAAAAAAAAAAAATAAACAAGTTTAAAAAATATAATATAAAAAAATGTATATATAAAAAAAATAAAATAAAATAATAAACAAAATAAAATAAAAAATATAGATGAAGAACTCAAAAAAATATTAAATTAGTAAGAAATAAAAAAAAATAAAAAAAGTAAAAAAAATAGATTAAAGAAAAAACTAAAAAAATAATATTAAGACTTATTATATAAAAAAAAATTTTTTTATTATAAATTTTAAGTAGTTAAATAAGCAATCTATTTTTATTTAAAGTAGTACAGCAAATTGTATTTAGATATCATTAAGATAGCTAAGTAATACTAGACTTAGTTATTAAATATTTTTATATAATTACAAGTAGTTTTAAAAATTTTAATATAAAAAATATTATTCATTTTAATTTTAATATTATAAATTTAAAACAAATTTAGATATCAAATAAATTTAAAATACTATTTATAGAATAAAAAATAGGTTTATTATTTTTATATATAATATATATTTTTTTATTAAGGTGATCTCTTTGGTTTTTGACTTTTATTAATGACTTTTTTAGTAATATGATTTAGTAAACTATTATAAAAAAGTATACAATTACTTATATATATAACTTTTTTATATTATTTATTTAAAGAGTTTATTTGAAGGTTCTTTATTAATTGCTATACCTAATACTTCTGCTTAAGTGTTCTATTTTAAACTCTTAGAACTTGCAACCTGTATTAATTTTACTAAGTTATACCTAGATGCTCAAATTATCATCTCAATCTTAGAACTATTTTATCTTTAAGCCAAACCTCTTAAAGCCTTCTATATTTATATTTATAGCTAACTAGATATCACTATAGCAAAATCAACATTTATAGTTAAAACTAATTATTAAACTGCTATGTTCTTGTAGAGTTTACACAAACTTTAGCATTTACTTCATAGAATATTTCTAGTACTTTAGTATATCTTTGCTTTTTCATCAGACTTTCAATCCAGATAGCTTGTATAAAACTATAATTAATCTATCAGTATATCAAATTGGTTTAATATTCTTTTTCTTCAGTTTATTCTAACTATCTAATTAGTGATATCTTTAAAACTTCTCAACCTAGAGGCTTTTGCTTGTTCAGATATTACAATCTTGGTATCTGTTTCTAGTAGTCTAATCTTTACAATAGCATCATCAAAGATTTAACTATCTTTTTGCTTATATTTTTTAAATAAACTTTTTGTTACCTAATTTTAATAGATTTACACAATTACAAAGACTTATTTAATGTTTGCATCACCTAATTGTTAGTTTATATTTCTTTGTATATTATTTATACAGATGTTCTATAATCTGCCAGTTATACTAATGCAATTACTATTACAGATATTTTAACTTAATTATTGATAACAGTTGCTATAATATGAATATTATATAAGTAATTATTCAAATTTTTATTACCAATAGGATTTGAACACCTAATCTACTACTTGAAAGGTTGATAATCTAAATATTTTATTAAAATTAACTTTAATTAAATAGTAATAATATTATAAAATAAATTTTAATAAATAATATTTTAGAAATATAATAATCTAATAAAGTAATTAGGTTATTAACTTCCCAAATAGTAGGTTAGATATTTAAATCCTATTAATAATAAAAATTTAAATAATTACCTATGTAATATTCATATTATAGTAACTGTTACTAACAATTAGATTAGAATATCTGTTATAGCAATTGCATCAGCATAACTAGTAGGTCATAGGACATTTGTATAACTAATTATATAGAGGAATGCAAACTAACAAATCAAGCAGTGCAAACACTAGATAAGTTTTTGTAATTATATAAATCTGTTAAAATTGAGTAACAATAAGTTCATTTGAGAAAACCTAAATAGATTGATAGCTAGATTTTTGATAACTTTATTATAAAGACTAGTTTAAGAAAATAAATATCAAGATTGTAATTCCTAATTATAGTACTTGGATAAGTAAGAACCTTTAGATTGGAAATCTTAAAAGTATTACTAACTAGATCATTAGAATAAATCAGAAAAAAAAATATTAGACTAATCTGATATACCAATAGACTAATCATAGTTCAATATAAGTTATCTAAATTGAAAATCTGAACAAAAGGTTAGACAAAAGACAGATGTATACTAAAGTATTAGGGTTATGTTGTAAAGTAAATGCTGAAGTTTGTGTAAACTCTACAAGAACATAGTAGTTAAATGATATAACTTTGACTACAAGTATAGATTCTGCCATAGTGATATCTAGATTAACTGTAAAAATAGTACAGAAAGCTCTGTAAGATTTATCTCAATAATAAAATACTTCTAAACTTGAGATGATGATCTGAACATCTGAGTATAACTCAGTGAGTTAACACAGATTACAGGTTTAGAAGATTTAAAATAAAATACCAAAACAGTGATATTAGATACAACAATTGGTGGAGAACTTTTAAATGAACTCCTTAAATAGGTAATATAAAAAAATTATATATGTAGCCAATTGTATACTCTTCTGTAGTAATTTATAAAATCACATTACCAAAAAAATTATTAATAAAAGTCAAAAGATCAAAGAAGTCATCTTAACACTAAAAAAAAACAAATAACATTTTAACTAAAAATTTTAATTGTTTTTGTAATTAAAACAAAAAAATTATTTCATTTTATTACTAGAAATTATTACTAGTAATTTACAATAATTGAAATTAAATTTTATTAAAAAAAAAATTATTTTTTAATATTTAAAGTAAGGTTTAAAAGCTTGAATAAAAAAAAAAAATATTTATATTTAGAATTTCACAAAAAAGTTCTTTTATTAGAACCTCAAAATAGTTTTGTTAATAAAATTTTATTTTATATTATACACTAATAATAATTACCAATAATAATAAATAAAAATTTCTAAAATTAATTAACCTGACCGAATTATAAAAATCAATTAATTTTGCATAACCTAAATAATTAAAATTATAAAAACATGTATAAAAATTACTTTATTTTACCACTAATAGTAATTTATTAAAACTAAATTTTTATCAAAGCAAAAATTTAGTTTTTTAATATTTAAATTATATTATACACTAATAATAATTACTAATAACAATAAATAGCAAATCTTTTTATACTAAATATAATATTTAATATAATTATCAATACTGTAATTTCATTAAATAATACATGTTTCATGTGACAGAATTTAAAATTTATTGGATCAATATTCCATTTAAATTTATTTGGATCAATTGGAATGGTCCAAATAAGGTTCAGTCAATTGGTCCTTAAGTCCATTATTTTGAGAGTACAACACTTTTTATGAAGGTATTACGTAGTGGAATGTGTGGAGTTAGAATTTCATTAAAAAAGGGATGCAGTAAAGCGCGTTTAGCTGAGATGCGTAACGTGTCGTCGTACGTCAACATTTTCTGTTGGCACGTTGCGCCATATAAAATGAATAATGTGAAGTTCATAAATTGGAATTATGAATACCTTTGAAAGCAGTTTAACTTACACCAAGCAAATCGACGCCAAGAGGATTCAATGTAGGAACGTATCCATTAAGAGATTTTGGTTTCCATTTTGGAAAGACAGGTGTGAAATCTCTAAATTGCGATATACCAGGCCAAACATCCTCATCCGGAGTTCCGAGAACCCTTAGTAATTAAACAGAAGATAAATTTAGGTGTTTACAATAAAATAAAAAAAAATAAGAAAATACTTGCTGGAAAATCAGGAAAAGTTCATCAATTTCACTTTCACCTATTAATAACAATCAAATCGTAAATTATAAATAAATATTAAAACCTATTTTAACAATCAGGTTGCATGTTTTTTTATCCAAATTTTACCCTTGAACAAAACTTCTCTATTAGCAATCTCAGCAAAGATACACCCGATACTCCAAATGTCAACAGCAAAAGTATATGTTGGACTACCGAGCATAAGTTCAGGGGCTTTATACCATAGTGTGATTACCTAATAATAAATATACGCTAATGTATAAAAAAAAACCATCAACTAAGATGCAAAGCTTTGAAACAATGATACCCCATGCGTGTAAGGCTTCAAAGGAATCCCAACGGCTCTCGCTAATCCAAAATCAGCTAATTTAAGGTTTTCTTCTTTATCAATTAATAGATTTTGTGGTTTTAAATCTCGGTGAAAAATTCGCCGTCTATGTAAAAATGTAGTTCCATCAAGAAGCTGGTACATAAGTTTCTATTCAATTTTAAAAGAACGAATTTAATTCATCTTGAAGCGCTTACGCAAATAGCCCTTAAACACAAAAATGAAATGATAAAAATACCTGAATTTTATTTAATTCTAGTCCCTCTTTAAATGTTTGAATATATCTCTTCAAATCCATCGTAAGGAACTCAAAAACAAGAAACAATTTCTTTTCTTGATTTACGATATCAAGAAGTCTATTCGAGCAATACAAAATATATTTAAATGCGTCGCAATTTTACGCGTTTCTATTCCAACTATACTTGCGGTTAAATCCCAAACTCCAAAAAATAAATTTTGCAAATATATTTTATATAATTATAACAATATTACTGCTTGCTTAAATAATGATTTGACCAAAGTTTGGGATTTGAGGAGCAGATAAACTTTTATAGCGGTTTTGGAATTTAACATTAAACACAATTTCAACATACTTTACAATATTTTCATTTTTTGAACATTCTTTAAGCAATGAAATTTCCCGAAGCGAAGTAGGTGGAATTCCTTCCTGTTCTCCAATGGGTAAATCTAGGCGCACCTGCTTAAGAGCCACAATTCTTCCGGTTTTTTTGTCCTTAGCTCTATAAACTATGCCGTATGTTCCTTTAAAATGAAAATAATTTGTATTTAAAAAAACGTATTAATAATAGAGTTTACGCCGAATGATTGTCTTAGTACCTTCTCCAACTTTCTCCAATTTTTCAAAATCATCCATTTCCATCTTTTAAAATCGTTCGAAATAAAGTTGAAAAAATGCCGGCAACTGTAAAAATATTATGTGTGATGTTTTGATTAACAATAAAATCGCGATTTACGTCATAATGTAAATAAAGATTAGAGATTTCGTGTAACCAGAATTGTTAATGTCTAAATAGTTTGATAATATTAAACTAAGAAAAACTGTTGTATAATGGCAACTATCACCTTTATTGTGGTTTTAATTATATGGGGGAGAGTCAATAGAAATCAAGCAAATTATTTTTATTGAAATTTTTTTGAAACTTTAAACAACAATAATTTAATAAAAACTTAATCAATTTAATAAAAATTTTTTTAAATGAATTTTACAAATTTGTAGCATTTATTTTAAAAAAGGTTTATAAAATTTGATAAAGTTTTAGTTAAATTATTTTTGCTTAAAGTTTCAAAAAAATTTATTTGAAAAAAATTTGCTTGATTTTTATTGACTCAACCTTATATATATATAACTTGTATAAGATAAGTATGCAACTAGTTATATAGGCTAGGTGCTGAAAAAAGTGATCAAATTGACAAAAAAAAAGATCTTCAGAAAATTAATTTTTATGTTATAAATCTTATAATAAATTATAAGAAAATGCAAACTTTGAAGAGTTATATCACAAAATTTTATTAATACAATTACTTTTGTGTCTTAAGTAAAAAATAATTTTAATCTAATTTTAAATTGATTTATGTAAAAAAATATCTTTTGAAAAAATTGTCAATTTGGTCCTTTTTCTTAGCACCTAGCTCATATGTGTAATTTTTAGTTACTTATTTAAGTAGTCTGCTTACAAATTTTATATTAGTTGTTATATTTGTAATCTGTTAAAAGATTACATATTTAAATATTTTGATTTTTATATTATATTAAACAGAACTATAATATATTTTTTAGTATATTAGGTGGTTTGATAATGTTTTTTAGATCTGTTCTGGTAGTTTAATTGATGATACTCTTATCTAAAGCATTTAGTTTTTTTATATTAGGATTTGTTTCTTAGATCTAGTTTTTACATTAATATTATTAAAAATTTATATTATTTTTTTGATTAGATTTTTTTAAATAAGTTTTTTGTTTCATAGTTTTTATAAATTTATATGATTACAAAAATTTATTTTAAGTTTGTATTATTTTATATTAGTTTGTATTCTTTTATATAACTAGTTATATAAATGTTTCATAATCTGTCAGTTATACTAATATAATTATAATTAATTTAATTATTAAAATAGGTACTATAATACAAATAGTTATTCAAATTTTCATTATTAGTAGATTTTAAACTTCTATTTTGTAACTTAAAAAGATGACAACTTATTTGTTGTTATATTCTTATTTAAAAAAGATTAAATATGATAAAATAAAATATTAACTAAAATAAAAAAATAAAAAAATTATTATATTTACAAAAACTTCTTTGTAAAATAATTACAAATATCAGAATTAGAACTAGTTAAAGAAAAATAAATTTAATTAGAATATTAAAATTAAAAACAAAATACATACTTTATAACTAATTAAGTTTTTGAAAAGAAATAAATAAACCAAAAAAAATATATTGTACTTTAAAAAAACTAAGTATAGAAAGAGTTATAATAATTAAGTATATAATAAATAGTTTGCTAAAATTAGTAGAATTAAACAAAAAAAGATCAAAAATATATATGACAACAAAATAGTAAGTTTGTTAAAATAATGAAAAAAAACAAATATATATAACAAATTATAGTAAACAAAGAAGTTTATAACAATAAATACAAAACTATTAATAATAACAATATAGAACAATTTTAAAAAAAAAAAAACCAAAATTCTATTACAAATATTATATAAAGAACTATTTAAAAAGATGAAAAAGAAAAAAATTATAAACAGAAAAGTGTTAAAAAAACTAATTATAATAAAAATAAAAAAAAAACTTAACTAACTGTTAAACAGTTAAGTAACAAAAAAATATATAGATATAGTAATAAAAACAATATAGAATATTTTTTGTAACTAGATATAAAAAGTTTGATGTAAAACAATACAAAAATAAAAAAAAGTTCAATATAACAAATAAGATAAAAAATGTATTTGGATAGAAGATAAGTTAGCAAAAAAAAATATTAAAATAGTAAAAGAAAAAAATAAAATAAAAAAAGCAAATTAAATAAAAAAAACTTAAAAAACAATAATATACTTGTTACAAAAAAAAAACCTTTTTAGTATAGTTTTAAATAGTTAGACAAGAAGTTTATCTTTAATTGAGATAATATAGCAAGTTGTATTTAGGTATTATTAGGATAGTCAAATAATACTAATTTTAGTTATTAAGAATTTCTATATAATTATATATTTATTTGGTTTTAAAAATCTTAGATCAAGAAGATAGCATCCTAGTATAGTGATTGAGTTGTTATTTTTTAAGTATTAAGTCTAAGTTTTAAATCCTATTTATGATAAAATTTGAAAATTATAACTGCATTATAGTAACTGTCTTTTGTTGATCAGTTGGCCTTATGTGACTGTAACCCAGGTACACCAAGTTAGGTCTTACGACATTGGAAGCTTAGGGCATCTATATAAAGTGTAATATTACATGTATATAAAGGAATGTATAATCAGTTTTGCATAAGACTTTAGTGCAAATCCACAATAAGACCATCAGGTATAGAAAACTAAGAAACTAAGATAACAGAAACCTACTTGAAAATTCCCAAGTAAAGAGGTAGCATAAACTTTTAACAGTATCATTAAACTGGTTAAAGCCTATAAAACACTTTCATAGAAACTGAAGGTTAAACCAGACATTAAATATGTATAGAGAAGCATATAACTAACTAAGCTATCAGATTTGTTAAAGAAAAAATATACAGAAGTATACCATATTAAGCCATCTGAATTGGTAGTCTAGAATAAGACTAACAGTTCTAAGTTGCAGCTAGTAGAAGATGATGAAGAAGATACTAAAAAAATAGATACTAAGATTCTAGTGAATTTTACAAAAGTAAAAATAGTGTAATATAGTAATTAAACAGATAACTCTTATAACTGCAAGTATTAGATAACTATAGTATGTTGTATAAAACTAAATCTATATGTGTAGAATATAAAGGCTTTAATAAGTTTTTTGTTGAAAATAAAGTAATTCTAAGAGTAATAACTAGCATTAGGAACTTGAATGAATGTAGCCTTGAAATATTCTCATAATGCAAGAAGAATTGTATATGCAGAGAGTTTAAATAGACAAAACTTCTAATTGGCTTGCAAGTATGATAACTAGTATAGAACTTATATAGCAATATGTAAGTGGACTACTTAAATTAGACACCAAAAGTGCAAGTATGACTAGTTGTAATTTCTAATATATAGGTAGCCTCTGGAGGTATACTGTGTCTTATAATACTTGAATAAAAATGTTGTATCCTTAAGACAAGAACTTTAACTATAAAAAAAATTTAAAATATTTATTTAATTTTATATCTTCTATAGTTAAGATCAATGGTTCAAGTCTGTTTGGAGGCAAAATTAAAAGATTTTAGCTTCTTAATCTAATAAGAAGCCTGTAATTAAATGTAAAACCCTATAGTTAAGTTCAAGTACAGTACAATAATAAAAATAGAAATTCCTGAAAGAAGATCTAATCATGAAGTGCAGGCATTATGCATAACAAGTAGTTGTTATAGAAGATTATGATTATAAAAAGATTATGCATGTAAGTTCTTTAAGCTAGAACAGCATCAACATTCTTATACCTCTTAATAGACAATAACAACATCTCTGCACTTAACTTGTGAAGTACTTGCTTGAAAGAATAATCAACAGATTGTGCAAATAAGTCCTAATTAGGATTTAAGAAAAGAATTTGATTAGAAGAATAGTTTGAAAGTAACCAAGACTGAAATAGTAAGAGAAGTGATAAACATGAGGATGGGTTGTGATAAAGGATTGGTCTAACCAAAAATTGAAAGCATCTCTAACATAGCCAAATAATCTAATTATAGAAAGGAAATTCTTAAATGTTAGCATATAACTTCCTTGTACAATATAAAAGTACCAAATCAGGTTCTGGTCATACCTATATAAAAGTTTATAATAAACAAAACTGAGATCAATTAACCAATGTAAGATAAGATCTACAAGGTAGTATGGCATCACTGAGATTGGTATAACTTTTTAGGCATAACCAGAATTGTCTTGCAGACATTATTGAATAAGCTGAGAGCTTGCAATATATGATAGTATAGTATTACTAAGGTTAGAGAAACTTACTAGATATAATCAAAATTGTTCTATTTGTAAATACAACAAGTTTTAGTTTCTACTATAGAAGAAAGCATTATGTTAGAGGTTAAATGCAATATTGAGTTACTGCATAATGTTAAGACCTAGAGCATCTGTAAAAATGGCAATAGCAGATCTGACTTGAGATACAAATTGGTCAAAAAGACCAATAGCAATAGCAGATCTGACTTGAAATATAGGTTTATTGCAAATCTGACTTGAGATATAGGTTTATTGCAGATTCTAAACCATTGTTAGAACATCTTAGAGAATTAATAACAGGCATACCAAAGATAGAAAGATCATAAAGATCAGACATATCTGAGTAGGACCAATTTGAGAGTGATATAGTAACAAAAAGATAAGAAATATAGAGAACAAGGTAATACTAAATATAGTTAGATTAGAAGGCAGAAGAAATAAGACCAAATAAAGCATGTGAGTGGAATATATAAATATAATTTACAAAAGACAGTACCTTTAGCATTTGGAATATCGAATTAAGTTTAGTATGTATTCTTGTCTATATAGCAATTTAATAATGTGCTTTGACCACAAGTAGTTGTTAAGATAACTATATGCAAGCATGTAATGGACATGCACTTAGGTGCCATAAGGATAACCAAGTGAAGTTAGTAGTGTAAAATTAGATAATATATAGTACTAGTAATAATTAATCCTAAAATGTAACTGTAAATTTGTACTATATT